TAAACCCTTAAGGACCAAACTTCTGGAATCAAATGGAATCATGACATGTCACACATGTCATGTGTCCTTAAGGGGTTAAAGAGTTCAAATTCCATTTGAAGTATCTCTTTAGTGAATAACTCTGTAAAAGTTCAGTAGATGACAGCCATGCTTAGGTCAATGGCATTGAATATGTATCGTATTGATGTCCAAGGAGGAGAAATGCAGAGAAAAAGTGTGCTGAATATTGCTTCATGAGAGAATCAAGATGAATCTATACTTATTATTTATGGGCATCATAAGACAAAGGAGAAGTGTCCAAAAAACAATGCATTCTTAACGTTAGGACCTATTCTCAAAACCTATGGTAAATCTGTAATTAAATGTACAAATTCTGTGGAATTTATAAATTAAATTCTTTTGAAATCTGCCATATTTTACTGGCCAGAGCAATACATACAGCCCATAGAACCTAAATGTTTAAAGTGTGTATTTAGATATTTAGCAATAGATGTTGCATGGGGTAAGATAAATGAATAAATAAAATCCAAGTTGATTTTTGGTAGTTTTGACCTGTTTTAAAAAACATATTCATCTTGCTGTAGTGCAAGCTGTTTGGTTCCAGTTTAACTTAATCTGAGATGACATATAGATGTTTGCTTCACTTACCAAATCTCTATTAATTTCTAATTAATAACTTCAACCCTTTTGCTTCACATCTGTACTCACAGTGTCTTAACGAACTGTAATGTCCTTTTAATTGATGCAGCACCGGGTAGTGCACAGCATTCTACTAGACTTTCTACTAAGGTCTTTCAAAGCTCACATGTACATGCATTCAAATTTAAAGAGATGCAAATGCTTTTATTTCAGATTTTTTTTATTTCACATCTTCTTAGATGAGGTTTGTTTGTTTACACAAAATAGCACTGGTTACTTTATAACAGAGATTTTTTTAAAATGAGAGCATGATTTATTTATTCATTTTGCAATTCTATACATATACATGTATATATTGATCCAGAGTGTTTTACAAATTAAAGTGTACTTGTCATTATACTAATGTTAACATTGGAGAGCACAAAAAGCATATAATTATGTATGTATGTACACTTTGGTAGCAGAATTGCTAGCAAATGTATAGACTGGAAGAAAAATCTATTTAACATGTCAATGCTGAAGAATCGATTGACAGGTAGAGCAGGAGAAACCTCGTACAGGTGGTTCTCCTGATCTCTAAGCATAGCAAGCTCAGCACTGATTACTCCCTAGGTTATAAGTCTAGCAGTGACTAGGGAAAATTGAGTGACTGATGTTACTCCATTCAGAGCGTTACTTGCTGGCAATGAAGCCAGCTTGTCAACATTGTGGACAGATCTTGCAGTGGTGGGGGAAATGTTCCAAAGCAGGGCTAATCAAATCAGAGTACAGACAGGCAAAAAGCGAACTGTGAGTGTTACAACATCTACTATATTGAGTACATGATGACACTGGAATAGATGGGAGACAAGTTAATATCTCAGATGTTTAATTGAATCTAAATTCTTTAGACTTGAGAAATAGAGGATTTCTCGAAAGCTTGTCATTCCAAAATTCTGTTACTGGACTAATACGGCCAGAATCTGTACTCTGTAATCGACATATTGACGATATATCTATGGATTTACATTGAAGTATAACTGTCGTGGTTAAGTTAATTTTAAGTAAAAAACCTAAAGATGTGTTCACAGACAGGGATACGCAACAATAATAAAAAAACATACACAAAATTAATAGAGAAAACCTGCCTGCTGCAACTCCAACAAAGTGCTGTGGAAGAAGTCCATAGAGCTTACACTCTAGTCTAGAAGGACAGTGTGCATTAAGACTTATGGTTGTAGGGAGAAAATACAATTGATAAAATATAATTGCAAGTGTGTATAGAAAATTAAGAGGAAAATAGAACACAATAGATTGGCTGAGTAATCTTATCCCATTTTTGGTCCCCATAGAAGCTGCATATTTGTAATAAATGAGGGGATTTTTTTTTTTTTTTCGCAGAATTATAATACTTTGAGAATGTAACAGAGAGTTCTTTACTATGAGCTCCATTTTGTACAATAGATAAGTTGCAAATGACAGTCCCTATCTTCTATGTTCTTTTCTTTTTCTGCCGTAGATCAGGCTGAAATAATAAATCTCTTAGTAATTCAAAGAGAAGCAGGTGTCAATTTAAATTATTCCATCTTACAAACATATTTCAAGATTTTGTACTAACCATTGTTTTGCTAATCTGAAGAAATGACCTTCCTAGTTTAGTCTCTTTTTTTGCTAAAAGTTAAAACAACCTTTTTGCATCACAGATGAACAAGACATAAAATCCCTGTCTCCTTCTTTGAAGAGTAAGTGGTGAGACATTTAGCAGAAACCACTAAATGCATTTTTCCTATGAACCCCTGTAATGAATGTTCTTGTAACATGAGGCCACACACACACGTCTGAGACATAAGATAAATGATAAATAAATGAGAAACACTACAATAATTATTTATTAATGCTAATGAATGAAAAATGTCAGCAGTATGCTCAGAAATTTTTCTATAGAAATGCTAGGACCAGAATTCATTGCAGAATAAATATATTTTTTCTTTAATAAATATTTTTCGGAATATAGAGTAGACACTTTTTGGGGGGGAAATAGTGCGATTAATTAAAGAATTGTATCTCTACTAAAATGGATATATCAGACCATCAATAAAATCTATGAAATGTTCAGATGATTGTACATCTTTAAGTTGAAGGTTTGAGCCATTTTGATGTGATCTTTTCTATATAGTTCACTAAATATTCCATTTGGTTCATTAAAAGCTAATTCCAAAGTTCTGATTCCTAAAGGATATCACATTCCAATAAATAAACAGTTTACATTTTAATTAATTAAATTTTTTGCATATTTGACAAGGGTGAGAAATTATTATCTTGAACCGTAAAGGGCGTTAATAAATGTCATGCTGCTTTGATGCAGGTTTTATTTTTTTTAATTAGATCTTGACAAACTTCCATCGAAGCCAAAGACCTTTCCCACTATTTTACCATTTGTCATACTTTTGGGAAAACTCTTGAGATATTTCACATGATATTCTGATGTTATAAATCACTCACATCAAAGTGACTCTTGTAAATAACACTACGAGTTGTTTGGAAAAGTATTTGAAGATTATTAAAAAAAGACCTGGGAATCTGGCAACCAAGTGACCTCAACTGAGTATAATACTTTGTTTACCAAACAGGAAAAAAATATATAAAATGAGTTATAAACAGCATATTTAAGAATTAAAAGGCTAAATAAAACAAATGTATTAACGGTATTATTGATGAATAAGTGTGCTGTCCCCCCAATCATGTGTCTGCATACCCTTTATCAATGTATTTATCTTCGGTAATTCTATACAGCCCTGCAGTTAGTAATTTAGTGGGTCATTCTTTTAGAATAGTATCCTTAAAGATGATGGCATAGACTTCTGTTGTCATTTAAGGGGTTAAAAGCAAGTAACATAAAGTATACATAACAGTGAAACATGAATTATAAAATAAAATAAAAATGAATGCCATCTTGGAATTCTTGAGACGTAATAAACCAAAATACTGATGTTTTAGTAGCCATATTAGACTAGTGATGCAAAAACAATATAAAAGAGTGTAACAATATCTTAAACATCTTACTATTAAATGAAATACCTTATTTATTGAACTCACAATATTTTATAATGACATGCCTAGGTAGTACATAGGTAGAGCCCCAAGAAGGAAAAATACATTTAAACATGTTGCGGTAGTTACTCTTAACCCCCTCCTAAATAAATAAATACATATATCCATAATTACTTCCACCTGAAGTAATTGGATAGTTAATACATTGCTAAGCCCAAATACACACACCAGTCAAGCGATAAGACTTGCTTTTCCCACAGAAATCTCACTTTAACTGTGCTCAATCCTGCAAGGGATTCTGGGTAGGCGCATGCAAATGCCAAACCACCATAGCAAACTGATAACCAACCCCATGCTGATGAGTTGCATTAACAACGAAACAGCTATCCATGAGTGGTTCACTGGCTTTGCTTTGCTCCTCTTCCAAAGCTGTTGTATAAAGCAAACACATAATCCAAGAAATCCATGAATAAAAAGGAATTGAGGCAAAAATGTGGCTTTATGTTGAGCTCATTTGCATACGCCTACCCAGAATCCCTTGTAGTAGTGAGACTACTGTTAAAGTGAGATTTCTGTTGGAAAAGAAAGTCTTATGGCTTGACTGGTGTGTGTATTTGGGTTTAGCAATGTATTAACTATATATATATTTTTTTTCTTTACCCATACCCTACAAGTTAGATTTAAGGATGTCTCTTGAAGTTTAACTGGCTCATAAGAACATCAATTATGGGCTAAATTTATGTAATGGCTCATATCCAATGTGGATGGAGCGAAGGTTATTTTGTTACTTCCTTACTGACTTCTTAATCTCTATCTCCCAACAATTCTAGACACTTTTCTTATGCCTTGATTCATTTTCTACATTTTATGAAGAGGAACAATATATTCCAGTTCCAATTATTAACTGGCTGAGCACATGGCATGAACGGCCTTATAGACCTACCATTTAAGTACAAGAACTCGTCGGGCATGGAGAGGCAAGCATCGCTGACAAGTAATAAGTATTGGCTGAGATCAAAATATCGTCTTTCACTCCTCAAAGAGCACAATGTTCTGCTTAGCTCAGCCAGAGGATTTAATCAGTCTTCAACATTAAAACTAGAAATAATGGGAATTCTTAAGGCCATTAATGAAAATTCATTCTTTGACTAGTGTGCCGTTAATTGGCAATTACCGTGTTTCATTTGAAGTAAACAGACTAACGCATTGAGTCTATTTAAGAAGTTGGAGCTTGACTTCAGAGTTGTCTTGTGGTAAACAGGGAAAGCAGCAATGTTAATCGGCATAATGATATATTTTCCCTTGTTAAACTACCAGATTAATTTCAATTCTCCTGCTAACCCTTGAAACCAAGTATGGGTCGCCTACATTGTTTAACAGGCCCAACCCACTCTTGGATTCGAAGGTCAAACAGGATTTCAGCTTTTGAATTGTCTTCATTCATTCAAATATTTTTTTTTCTTTCTTTAACAACAATGCACTGTTCGAAGTTAGTATTAAGACAAAAGGGAGGGGTCCCTGGGAGAGACAAAAGAAGAGGGTGCATGTTAGAGGTACAAGGGGAGGGGGCATCGGGAAAGGTGCAGGAGTATCGGAAGAGACACAAGTGGTGGATGCATAGGCAGAGACATAAGGGAAGGGTGCACAGGGAGAGACAAAATGGGAGGGTGCATGGTTAGACGTATATGGGAAGGGGACATAGGGAGAGACAAAAGGTGAAGGAGTTGGTAAGGTTAGGGTATTGAGAAAGACAGGAGTTGGAGAAATGGAGAGACATACTGGAGTGAATTTTGGATCCCAAATATTTATTCATTTAATCAGATTTTGGAACATGTGGTTTGCTAAAGGAATGTAATATAATTGTATTGAACTGTTTTCATTTGATTTCTTTATAGTTTGCTGTTTAACTTTTTGTGTCAAATTCACAACATATTGCCTTTTTTCCATGCATCTATAATGACCTGTCTAATCTTCTCTTGCCTACTAGCAGAATAACATAGCTACAGCTAACATAGTAACAGAGTAACAGGGAGCAAGAGAACCACCTGTCGTTCAATCTATGGCAGTAGACTCATTTAATGTTAAGTGTTTTATTGGCAGGTGGGGGAAGGACCATATACATATATACATGCACAATATCTTCACTATATTGTTGCTGTTCCTCTTACTTTGAAAACTTTCTACATCATCTTTTTTTCTCTATAATGCCCTCTATCTCTAAATCACTGTTTTCTTTCAACTATAATTTGCTTTTGTTTTGTTTTTCAGAAAAAGCAGGAGTATTCACGTAACAGATTCAAACTCTCATGAGTTTTTAGTCACTTGGTGTGCTCTTGGGTAGCAATGGTTTATGAGCATTATAGCCAGACATTGTTTGTTGTAGCTCTGTAGCATACACAGTGGGTCAAAAAAACTAAATATTCAAAACACTGCAATTTTATAGATTTAACCTAAAAACTTGTAAAGTCCAACAACTTACAAAAATTCTGCACATGTAAGTCCATGGCAGTTGTCAATTTATCATTATTCATTGCTTATAGAATAAGCGTCTTGGACTTTTGTATTGAACCAGATTCTTCAATGGCTTGGACAAATTAGAGACTCGAGAGACTCCTAGGACCCGGACTAGAAGGTGTCTGAGATGGATTCTTCTGAGAAAACGAGGAGCGTTGATGTTCTTCATAGGTTCCCAGGAGTATCAGATATTCGATGATACCCCTTCGGACACGTGAGTCTAGGAAGTTTTGTACTTCATACTCTGGTTCCCCAATGACAACCGCAGGAGGAGGGAGAATACGATCAAGGAATGTGTTGTCTTTGAAAGGTTTGAGGAGTGACACATGAAAGGATGGATAAGAAGGCAGATCCGGCTGAACAGCTACAGGAGAGATGATTTTCTTGACACAGAATGGGCTGATGTATTTGGGACCCAGTTTCTTGGAAGAGCAAAGGGTTTTCAAATGTTTAGTGGATAGCCAAACCTGATGGCCTACCTGGTAGGAAGGAGGGAATCTTCTGTGATGATCAGCATAGGATTTGTAGAGAGATTGGCTCTCCTGCAACATCCTGGTTGCGATACAGTGGGCATAGCCTGGGCTTGAAATTCTTGTACTGCTTGAGTCAGGTTGGTAACTTGTCTCGTCAAGGAGTTGAGCATCTCGGCTACTTCTGCATTCTCCGTAGACATGACTCAGTTATTCTATTAGGACACTGTTTAGGAGATGAAGCCCAAGATGCAGAAAAGGCCGTAAACAGGAATGCAGTACAAGGGGGTCAAACGACGAATGGTCAGGAAAGCCAAAGGTAATGACAGTAGGAACAGGATTGTAGTCAGGAGTCAAGCAAAAGTCAAATACCAGGAATCAAACAGGACAGGCACTGAAGGTATTAATGCAACAAGAGCACAGTATAACTGAGCAAAGAGTCAAGGGTTAGTAGAGTTTAAAGACGGAGAGGAGGAATGTCCACTTATTGTAGCTTCACTTTCATGAACACCCCCTTCTCGGGTCTCCGCCCTCTGTCTCTTTAAGAGGCCTTGCTTCAGTGCGCTATAGGACTCCCCTGAAGCTCCGCCTTCTGTGAAGCCGCATTCGGGAAACGGAGTTGCCTGGAGGATCACAAGTGGCCGTCGTTGAAGGTTGGGCCAGCTGCATTGCACAGAGGGTGGTGCTCTGTTACAGCGTCTCTGTGGAGAAGGTGCAAGGCAGGAGAGCAGGGGAGTGGGGACCTGACACTCTTCTGGCCATTCTGACGCTGGCCGCTGTTCCCACAGCCCTTTTTAATGAGGCTGCACATGAGCGCCAGCTCATTCTCATAATTTACACAGCCCCACTCACATTCTGGGGGCATGGTTACAGCAATAATGACCCCAGCCTAAAACAGTGAAAATGTCCAAGTGCCCTGTTGTGGTTTCTCCTTGACCCAATAGCACATTTATACTGTTTAGATTATCTTTGTTACTGACTCGGCTCTCCATTTGACTATTCTGTATTTTAGTGGACTTGACCTGACTTTATCTAACAGTTGAGCTGATTTCAGTTAATCTGATTTCTGGTGTTCTTTGATTAAAACTTTTCTTGACCTTTCTGTCATTCTGTTCTATGTAAAGCCCAGTCACCTCTAAGCACCGATATAATGCCTATTTACTGACTTTATACTCTGAATGTTGGGGTTGTTATAAATATTCGTGACAAGATCTACGTGCGATACTCAAACTTTATTTGTTTATTTCTTTTTTAATCCATCTTGATAATGTGAAAAGTATTTTATATTTTATCATATAGTGAAGTTACCTAAATTTACCCAAGCTGAAGTTTTTTTCTTATTTATTTCTAAATGTAAAACAGGCAAAACAACCATATTCAATGCAATAATATCTGTAAACTGTGAAACATGCAACCATAAAAACGACCCTGTAATGTCAAAAAGGTAGAATTGCTTTTCACCGTGTCCTCGTTATAGCTCTACATCTTTCCTTTTAGCATGTTAAAGTTAGTAGTTATTAAATGTATACAAGTATATTATTTTATTTATTTTAATTTTAACCAGCTCGATGCATTTGTATACCAAACTGAATGGGACATTATCCTCTGTAGAATAAGTAAATGACAGAGTCTTCTTGAAAAATTTTTTAACAGTAAATAATATTGAACAAACTGTTAACATAGTCTATTAATCTTTTCAGACATCTATAAAATTAGGCTTTGTAACCCAGAAATATCTAAAATATATTAGTATGCAAACAATATTTATAATGTAGTGCCTCTCAAGAAATATGTTTTCCCACGGAGTACGTTTAATAAATTATAGCAAAATCATCTGAAAAATGTATTAATGTGGGTCAGTTGGATCTTTGTAAAAGCTTTATATTCAAGTGGCTTTCATTTGATCTGATTCTATTTCTTGGGGAAAATTAGAATACTTTGAAAAAAGAATTTGTAAACATTATTGTTCTTGAATTTCACACATTTTAATACAGGCCTTACGCAGTTAAAAACTGTGTTACATGCAACGTAAAGAAACAAGATACTAATATTTGAAAGGGCTTTCCTTGTCAATAATGTATATCAAAATGCAGAGAAGCTGCTTAATAGAAATTAGAGAAGAAACTACCATTCATATTATTAATGCACATTCTTGATGGAAAATAACAGAAAATAAAACCTTTTCTATATTGATTAATATTTTGTTGATTTTCTTAAAACTGAAGTGATGCCAGACTTAAGCATCCTGAATGCTTTAAATCTACAAAGGATACTGAATATTTCTTTATTTTAATTTTTATAATTTATGTTATAATTGTGTCAAACATCAGAAGAGAGGAAGGTCTAACAAATTCACTCCTATACACTATTTAGCACAACAAAAACTTTTTTTTTTTTTTTACATATTTAATCAATTTAGATAAATACAGCACAATACAAAACCTTACAAATATCATGTAATTATATTTCATTAAATATCAATAAATAAATAGTACAATTAAAATTAACTATGTAACGGCATGATGCATGCAAAAGGTGTGTGAAAATAATAAGACATGGTAGAATTTAATTAAAATAAAAATACATTTTAAAAAATGAATGAGAAAATGTATCAAGACAAAAAACAGTTGATATTCTGGGGCAAAATGCTAAATAAGGACCAATCGACATGAATAACAATAGAATGTTTTTTAATATTTAGAGCTGTACACCCAAAATAGCACCTGTTTTGCCTTGATAAATCTACACTCATAATGTAAAGTTTTCAAAGTGATTAAAAACGGCAAAATCTGAAATAATCAATGTATCTACAGTCATCACTGTGGATTAAGGCTCATACATTTTTGTTGTTAGGAACTAGAGTTATATAGCACAAGAACTGTGAGAAAAGTCATGGTACGAGTAACCCTAAATGACTTGCCAGCTGCTATATAATCCATTAATACAAAGAAATGACAAGGTCAATGTTTGCACTTACAAATATGCAATGCAAAAAGAAACTATTTGACAGAAGATTAATTTCAGGATAATGACAGGACTATTGCAGAAAAATGCAGAAAGAAAATAACTTCCATATTTGTTAGTCTAGAATCAATCTAGACTAGAGTAACTATATTTACCCAAATGGACTTGCTTGTTTATGTTCAGTATAAATACAGAGATTAACTACATGGCCAAAGTATGTGGACACCTGCTTGTTGAACATTTCATTCCCAGATTACGGGTATTAATATTAGTATATTAAATGTTGGACTATTGCTGATGGTATTTTTTTCCATTCAGCTGCAGTTAGGTAGTGGACTGCAATTTGATGGACAATTGGGATTAGCTTGTAAATATCATTCCAACTTATTCCAATTGGATTGTGGTCAGAGCTCATTGAATGGATCTTTGTGTACTGGAGCATTGTCATTTTAAATAAGCTTTCGGCA